GAGCCTGGCCACCAGGGACCATCTCCTCCCAACCTCCCGCGGGAAGGGGGGCTCCTAGCATGTGCCCCTCCTGAGGCGGGTTCCTCCTGGCCCCTCCTCTCATTGCCCTTCCCCAAGCAGCTGGCTCAATCAGCGCTCAGAATAGCCCCCCTCCACCCCAAAATAACCCACAGCTGTGGCCTGGCCCCCGCGGGGTTAACGCTGGCTCTCCCCCCAACCCTCCCCTATAGCTGCTCACCCGTCAGCTTCTACCTCTGTCAGCACCTGCCCCCTCAGGGCCTCTGACCTTGGAGACCCCCCCTCCTGGGGGTCCTGCTCCTTATGGGGTCCACCCACTAGGTATCCTCATCCCCACCCTTCCCCGCGAGGGACTGGGGACAGCAACTTCACTCAGGCCGCTGGAGGAGACCCCCTCATCTTGAGAACCCACCCCCTCAGGCTCTCCGGGGTCCTCTGTCCACACAGCGGTCCCAGGGCCAAACCTCTGTGCCCTGCGCAGCAGTCGGGGACACGGGAGGCTCCCAGACCCTCCTCCCTGATGTGGGGAAACTGGGTCCCCAACTTATCCCATAGACTCAGGAATCATACCCCAAGACTCAGGGGTCCAGGCGCTGAGCCGCCTTCTCCACCTGCAGCAGCCAAGGGTCCCCGTGTTCCCAGCCCTCTCCTCCCTTACAGACCCTCTTTTTTGTCTCAAATTCCATCAGCCTGGGTATGCAGGGGACCTTCCCCCTCTGCCCCCAGCCATCGGCTGTGGCCTGGGCCTCCCTTGCTGGCCCCACTCATGAACTGTGCACAGGGGAGCTTGTCCCACAGTGGGGAGGGGGAGGGTACCCAGAGATTCCTGGGGTGTCTCCGCCTCCGCTGCTGCCCCCATCATCACAGGGGAGTGGACAGCCCCCTCCCCCCCAGTCGTGCTGCAGAGTCCTGTCCCCCCCCCCCACCCCGCTCGGCACCCTCCTCCTGCTCCACCCCGCACACTCACACCGCCAGTCTCTCCCCACCCCAGTCCTGCCGCTGAGAGGGGCTGCCAGGGTGTTCCAGAACCTTTAAGGAGGGGCGGCCGCTGGGGGATAGGGGCGCTGGGCTGCCCTCAAGGTCCTTGGCAGCTGTGTTAATAGCAGATTCATAGCTCGGAGATGGGAGGGGAGAGCAGGCGAGGGGAGGGGAGAGACGGGCCGCCCGCCATAGGGGAGGCTGGTGCAGGGAGAAGGTGAGCTGGATGGAGAAGGAGGGGCGTCAGCTGTGTCGCGCTGGGACCAGGGCCAGCGGCCGGGGGGAGTCGGGGCTCGGCTAGGGAGGCCTGGGGTACAGAGACCCAGGGGAAAGGGTCTCCGAGAGGGGGAAGGGCAGGGGTCGTAGGACAGCTCACTGAGGATGAGTATGCTGTAGTGCGGGGAGGGGGGCGGGGGGAGGGCAGGAAAGACCCCTGCCCACCGTTCCCTCCCAGAGACCGCCTGACCAACTTTCCCAGTCCTAGATTGGAGGGAAGGGGGTCCCTAGCCCCATCCCCCCGCCCCTGCATCCCCTGCCCCAAAGGGTCCTTACCTTTTCATGACCCTGTTCTGTTGGGGGGAATCGCGGGGGGTGGGGGTGGGCCAGGACCGGAACCCAGCGTCTGGTGACCCGAAGATTCGGCGCAGGGCTCGGGGAGCCGCTGTGGGCGAGGTGGGGGCCAGGCCCCGGGGCGGCGGCGTTGGCGGTGGCGGCAGCAGCGGGGACTTCTTGCCTGCCCCTGGCTCCGTCTCTGCCTTCCTCTTCCTCCTCTTCCTCAGTCCCGTCCGGGCTCGTGTGTCTCGTCCGCCAAGGTTGCGGCCGTTGGGACTAGGCGAGGACGCAGCTACTACACATGTTGCGCTGGAAGTTGGGCCCCGGACATTGCAGAGGCTGTCGGGGTGTCCTCTCGTGGCCCCGACCCCATGGGGATCTCCCTTTCCGCCCACCCGGGATGCCCCCTTCTGCTGCTTCAGCCCCGGCTCCTCCCCCCATCCATGTGTCCGGTTCCGCCTCTCCCTGGCTCCTCTGCACCCCTGCTTTGTGCCCTCCCGGCCCCCGTCCCCCACCCAGCGTCTGTGTCCGTCTGTCCGTCTGTCTGGGTCACCTCTGCCGCCGGGCGCCCCGGGTGTGCGTCTGTGGGGGTTGGAGCACTGGTGCCTGCCTGTCTGGGGAGCTGCCCCTGCTTGCCTCGGCCACCCCCAGACCACCGCCTCCACCGCTGGGCGCCCCTAACCTCAGACACAGGCAAACACACAGACACGGCCTGGCTTCCCTGGGATTCCCTCTGCACACCCCCGGAGCTGGAGGAGCGAGACGCGCGGGCACACACACACACACACACACACACACACACACACACACACACACTGGGGCCGGTGGGCGCCAGGCAGCCACTGCCGTCAGGGGCTGCGGGACAGACAGGAGGACACGCAGGCGCCGGCAGAGAGCTCAGGTACACACCATCCCCCGGGGCGGGGGGCTCGCGGGGAGGAGGGCAAGGGGCTCGGGTCGGAACGGACAGACCCCTCCCTGCCTCTCCTGCTCGCTGGCTCGGCCGCCGCCGCCGCAGCCCTTTGCACAGACACACCCCCCCTCTGCACGCCAGACACCCAGCCACAGCGATGCTCACCGGGGAGACGATGGCAGCCGCTGCAGAGACCCCTGGGGGCCGGGCGGACCCACCCAGGCTCACAGCCCCCTCCCCAAGCTGGGCACCGGTGGCCGAGCGAGGCTGCGGGTGGAGGGTGGGCGCCGCGGCCGCTGCTTGGAGGAGCCGGAGCGGGAGGGATTCGCACACTCGCTGCACTCGCGCGCGCACACACACTCACTCGGGATGCGATTAACATTCAGTCCCCGTCCGTCCCCTGCCGGGAGACCCACAGCCCCCCTCTCCTGGCCTCCCTAGGGACCCCTCCTCCTGCCAGGACTCGGGGGGCGGCCCTCAACCCCCACCTCCCAGCCTTTGCCCTCCTCCGGGGACCTGAGAGTGAGGGGCTGAAAACAAACAGGGAGGGGAGGAGGGCAGGCGGCGACTCCACATCCCGAGGGGAGGTGGGAGCCTTGCTGTTGGGCTTCTGGTGCTGCCCCCTCTGCACATTGAGGCTTGGGAAGGTGGGGTGCCTCTTCCTGACTTAGGTGTCCAACCCGGGCAGCCATTGCTTGGCTTCTAGTGCCCTAGAAGGCCCCACCTGCAAACTAGGTCTCCATCACTGAGACCAGCCCAGACCCTCCTCTCTCACTCACAGGGGTCCAGCCCCTCCTCCCTCACACCAGGGGTCCAGCCCAGACCCTCCTCCCTCACATCCAGGGGTCCAGCCCCTCCTCCCTCACATCCAGGGGTCCAGCCCCTCCTCCCTCACACCCAGGGGTCCAGCCCAGCCCCTCCTCCCTCACCCCAGGGGTCCAGCCCAGACCCTCCTCCCTCACTCCCAGGGGTCCAGCCCAGCCCCTCCTCCCTCACCCAGGGGTCCAGCCCCTCCTCCTTCACACCCAGGGGTCCAGCCCAGACCCTCCTCCCTCACCCAGGGGTCCAGCCCCTGTCCCTCCTCCCTCACTCCCAGGGGTCCAGCCCCTCCTGCCTCAGACCAGGGGTCTAGGCCCCCACATGCCTTCTTATAAGTTCCTTGGAAATTAGTCGTTGCTCAAGCCTTCTCCTGGGCAAGTGTTAGGAATCTAGAGCCTCAAACCCTCCCTCTAAGCTCCAGAAATTCAGGACCCACCACAGCTCTTACTCAGGTTTGTGTGTTGGTCCCTGCCCCTCCCTGCACCCCAGCCCATCCCATTCCAGAGGCGCCCCGTCTGCACATCACTGTCTCCCAACCTGGGATTTGGGGCTGTGTGGGCTACTTCAGGCATGAAGGGGTGGGAGGACGGGCTGTGACTGCCTCCCCTGGGAGTGCTTAGAGCGCCCTTGATGGGTGCAGGCTGAGGCTGCTCTGGAAATGGGGTGCAGAGGGATCGCCCCCAAGGGCTGGCAGGACATGTGTGCTGGGGCCTCAGGCTGCTGTGTGCTGGGCGATTCAGGCCACCAAGTATAAGGAGTTTGGGCTGGAGGAGGGGTCCCAGATTCCCCAGTTCCAGTGAAAAAGGGACTATTGGACCCCTGGCCTGAGGGGAAAGAAGCTGGGCTGGACCCCTGGGTGTGAGGGAGGAGGGTCTGGGCTGGACCCCTGGGTGTGAGGGAGGAGGGGCTGGGCTGGACCCCTGGGTGTGAGGGAGGAGGGTCTGGGCTGGACCCCTGGGTGTGAGGGAGGAGGGTCTGGGCTGGACCCCTGGGTGTGAGGGAGGAGGGGCTGGACCCCTGGGTGTGAGGGAGGAGGGTCTGGGCTGGACCCCTGGGTGTGAGGGAGGAGGGTCTGGGCTGGACCCCTGGGTGTGAGGGAGGAGGGGCTGGACCCCTGGGTGTGAGGGGGGAGGGGCTGGACCCCTGGGTGTGAGGGAGGAGGGGCTGGACCCCTGGGTGTGAGGGGGGAGGGGCTGGACCCCTGGATGTGAGGGAGGAGGGGCTGGAGCCATGGTTTGAAAGAGAAGAAGGTGGGGGCTGCTTTCCTGTCTTTGACAGGCCCCAAGGTCGGGGCAAGAGGCCCCAAGGTCGGGGAGGGGGCCGACCCTCAGCAACCCTGCCTTTCAGTCCCTGTGCACATCTTGAATGCTGGTGCACCCGCCTCCTGAATTCCCGTCGAGGACCGAGCATGGGCGGCGGATGCAGCGTTCCAGAAGAGACACAGGTTGCTTGGGGAAGCAGGTGCTGGATTTGAGGCGCTTTGGACACTCCCCGCCCCCCTAACCAACGTTCGCGGAAGGCAGCCTCGGCGTGCCCTCAGCGCCGGCGCGGCGAGGCCGGCGGCGGGCGTCAGGGGGCGCTCGAGAGCCAGCTCCCTCCCTCGGGGGCGGGGCCTCGCCCCGGACTCCGCCCCGGACTCCGCCCCCTGGCGCTCGCCTCCCTCTTCCCGGCTCCTGCTCGGCCGCCAGCTCCGGCCTCGCCTCCCCCACGCAGGGCCCCCTGCGCCGAGCCGAGCTCACCCGAGGGAGGGCTCCTGTCCCGGCCCGCCGCCCCCGGCCCAGCCGCCCGACCAGCAGCAGCCCCCGGGGGCAGCCCCCCGCTGCAGCCCGCTTCCCTGAGCGCCCCCTCCTCCCCCCCAGCCATGAATATCTTCCGATTCCTGGGAGACCTCTCCCATCTCCTAGCCATCATCTTGCTTTTGCTCAAAATCTGGAAATCTCGCTCTTGTGCCGGTGAGAGGCCCGCGGGGGCCGGAGGACGGGGTGGGAGGGGGCTTGCGGGGAGGGGGGGGACGCACATTGCTCTGCTGAGCTGCTGACCAGACAAGCCCTCTTCCGTGTCTGGGGGCGCCAGGGGCGCAGCTGGCTTCTGCAGCCTGGACGAGGCGTGGGGTGTAGTGGGGGGCAAGGCCAGGTGCCCCCTTGCCCCGTTCAGCCCCCAGTCTGGGCAGCCTGGAGGTTGCTGGGCTGCGAACAGGGAGCCATGGCAGGCGGGGAGGTGGCTGGGAGTTGGTGACGTGGACAGTGGCGGCCAGGAGGGCAGCGGGGAGGGAAGCGACTGGTTCCGGGCGGCTGGGGTCAGGCAGGGTCCTCTCCAAGCTCCCCCTGCCTTGGGGTCAGCTTGTGGGAGGATCTTGCTGGCCACCCCCACCCGGGGTGGTTATGAGGCCTAGCCCGGGCTGGAGCCTCGGGCTGGAGTAGCTTCAGGGCCCGGGGCTGCCCCCTGGCTGTGGGCAGCGGGAAAGGGCTTTTCCTTGGGCGGGCGGGCCGGGGTTTGGGGAGGCCTTTGGGGACAGCTGCGTTCCACGCACCTCCGGGCTGGCCCCGGGCTGGACCTGGGCCGTGTGCCATGGTTCAGGGCCCACACAGCGCACTCCCCAGCCCCGGTTCACGGCTCCTGTCTGTCCGTCTGGGCTGCAGGGATTTCCGGCAAGAGCCAGGTCCTGTTTGCTGTGGTGTTCACCGCCCGCTACCTGGACCTGTTCACCAACTACATCTCGCTCTACAACACCTGCATGAAGGTAGGGGCCCTGCCCTGCCGTGGGGGTGCCTGGTGGGGGGGCCTGCTGGGTGTGCCCGCCCGCGCCCACCGTGCCCGCCCGTGCCCACCGTGCCCGCCCGCGCCCGCCCATGCCCACCGTGCCCGCCCGCGCCCACCGTGCCCGCCCGTGCCCACCGTGCCCGCCCGCGCCCGCCCATGCCCACCGTGCCCGCCCGCGCCCGCCCATGCCCACCGTGCCCGCCCGCGCCCACCGTGCCCGCCCGCGCCCACCGTGCCCGCCCACGCCCACCGTGCCCGCCCGCGCCCGCCCATGCCCACCGTGCCCGCCCGTGCCCACCGTGCCCGCCCGCGCCCACCGTGCCTGCCCCCCATCAGGTTGTCTACATCGTGTGTTCCTTCACCACGGTCTGGATGATTTACAGCAAGTTCAAGGCCACCTATGACGGCAACCATGACACGTTCCGGGTGGAGTTCCTCGTGGTGCCCACGGCCATCCTGGCGTTCCTGGTGAACCACGACTTCACCCCTTTGGAGGTAGGTCTCGCTCAGCAGTGGGGCCCTGCGGCCGTGCGGCCGTCGGAGGGTCCAGTGGCAGTAAGCGCTGACAGCAGGACCGACCCCGGAGAGCTGCCTTCTGTGGGGTCCTCTGAGACTTCCCAACCAGGATCTATCCATGGGGTGCTTGTCTCAGGATGGGAGCGAGGCAGCGGGGGGGGGGCTCCCCGTGGGCTGGATACCTCTACCAGCGCCTCTCCTGCATCTGCTTCTGAGCACTCGTGTGGACCCATTTCCCTGTTGGGCAAGTTGAGGCTTGGGGTGTCTAAGGTCACTGGCCCAGTAGCCGACAGAGGATGGCCAGGGGCTGCAAGCCAGGCTTGGGGCCGAGTTCCAGATCTGCCACTTCTTCTTGGCGCCTATAACTTGCCTTGTTTGTAAAGTGACAGCTGCTTGCTGAGGTCTTGTGGCACGGGCCTGGAGATGTGAAGCCCTCTGCGTGGGGAGGTCCCCCGGCCTCGGGCCAGAGGCTGAGGGGTGGTTAGTGTTCCCAGGGGTGGGACTGATGTTGGGGGAGCCCAGTGCCTCCCACAAAGGGTGGAGCGAGTCGTGTGGTTCTGGCTCGGCGTGTTGGCGGGGTCCTGCCAGCTCGCCGCTCCCTCGGGGAGCTCAGGGAGGGTGGCAGCTCTCCTGCCCTCAGGCCTGCTCCTGCCCTGTAGGAAACTCATCCTGGGCGGCTCGAATCACCCGTGTTTTCCCACGGTGCTTCGAAATCAGAACCCAGAATTCTTGAGGCACGATGCCCCCTTTAAGACATGTTGGTGCAGATTTAAAGCACGGACGTTGGGTGACTTCACCCCGTGGCAACGTCAAGAGGCGGCCACGGTGTGCGTCCTGGGCTTTTCATGTGTGCGGTCCCTGCCTGCTTGAAGAGGCTACTCAGCCAAGCCCTTGACCTAGGCAGAGCCGCCCTGGTCACTGTCCACACTGTCCAGATGAAGGGACTCACTGGCTGTGTGAGGCAGCTGGGCTTGCTCGGGCTAGAGGAGCCTTGAGGTTCGGTTCCCAGCTCTGACTGTTCATCCCAGGGTCCAGCCAGTGTAGACCTTGGGAAGCAACCATGATGGCTCAAAAATCGGGGTTCTGGCCACCTTCATGGGAGAGCTGGTGCCTTTATCTCTCTATGTAACTGAAACGCTGTTACAGACAGACTGCATAGGGATTTTCGTCCCAGGTGGCGGCCAGTGGCTTGGCCAGCCTAGGCTGAAGCCAGGAGCCCGGGCCTCCATGCAGGTCTCCCACGTGGGTGCAGGGATCCAAGGCCTTGGGCCATGCCAGCCTAGGCTGAAGCCAGGAGCCTGGACCTCCACGCAGGTCTCCCATGTGGGTACAGGGACCCAAGGCCTTGGGCCATCCTCTGCCGATTTTCCAGGTGCATTAGAAGGGAGCGGGATCGGAAGTGGGGCAGCTTGGATGTGACCCAGTGACTATGGGATGCCGGCTGTTTAACCCACAATGCCAGCCGCTGGGTTGTGTTTCTGACTTTAGCCTCCTGCTAGGCGGGCATTGTGAGCGTTTAGGAATTGAACTAGCGGATGGGAATTGTCTCTAATTAAATAAATAAATGCAGATTTTAAGAAAGTTTTATTTCACAAAATAAAGTGCAATGCAGAAATGTGTTGCACCCCTGCTCCCCAGGTAAGCTGGGGTTGCAGGGGAGACTGGGGGTGTGTCTGTAGACTGAACCCTGTGGTTCCCCAGACCCTTGCTGGAAAGTTCTGGCCTGAGGAAGCAGACCCTCCTGGGGGTGGGAGTCTGGGGTGACCCAGGATCAGGTCCCTCTCCTGGGCCCCCGCTTCCCCATCTGCAGTGTGGGAGTCGTGGCAGGACCTGCTTCGTGGTGCTGAGGCTGGAGCCAGCGGGTAGCCTGAGGCATGTGGGGCAGCGCCCGGCAGCTGTGTGTGTGTTGGGGCGGGTCGGTAGGATTCGCTCATGTGTGTGCATGTGAGGAGGGTGGGTCGGTAGGATTCACTCCTGAGCTTGCCCACTTCCTTCCCACGAAGCCAAGCCCAGGCCAGGCCTACACCTGCCGCCTGCCACCTGGCCATGTCGTCCGAGGGGAGGTTTCGGGACGCCTCAGTGGTCACGTCTCCTGCAGGTGGCACTTTCGGGGAAGCCAGCAGCTATTTGAGGTGGCCTGTGGGCTGGGGGGTGCTGCGTGCAGGAGGGTGTGGGGCACAGGAGAGACCAGAGGCCTGGCTGAGAGGAGAGCGAGCAGGCAGGGCCTTCAGGGCCGGGGTCAGGAGTTTTATTCTGTTTAGGACAGGGAGAAGCTGCTAGAAGAGGGTGTCCTCCTCCCGCCCCGGGAGTATTTGAAAGGCAGAGATGGAGAGTGTCCGCCTGCTGTTTCACCTGACAGATACCTGTGACAGCTGGGCCAGAGCCACACCAAAGCTGGGGACCCAGGAACTCCATGTGGGAGCCAGGGAGCCAGGGAGCCAGGCACTAGAGCCATCATCTGCTGCTCCCTCGCAGGGAGCCGGAGTTGGGAGCAGAGCCGGGACTTGAACCAGGCACTTGGATGTGGGACTCGGGGCATGTTCCTCCCGCCACCCTGGACTGGACGCTTTCAGTTAGGGTCAGGGAGCTGCCCGGTCTGATTGGCATCTCTCAGGATGACATACGGACCCGTGGCTGCCCCTGGCAGAGTGGGGAAGGCATCCCAAGGTAGGGAAAGGCAGGTGGGCTGGGAGCACCGGGGGCCTGGATTCCACCTGCTGCCCCTGGACACAGGTTCGTGGCCAGCATCTGACCTTCTCTGGGTCTTGGTACTGATGGTGGTGGGTCCCTCCCAGGAATGGTGCCAGGGCCGTGTGCCTTCCTGCTGGTCTCACTGCTGCCAGCATCGCCCACCCTCTCTCTCTCTCCCCTGCCCCCCGTGCAGATCCTCTGGACCTTCTCCATCTACCTGGAGTCGGTGGCCATCTTGCCGCAGCTGTTCATGGTGAGCAAGACGGGCGAGGCGGAGACCATCACCAGCCACTACCTGTTTGCGCTGGGCGTCTACCGCACGCTCTATCTCTTCAACTGGATCTGGCGCTACCACGCCGAGGGCTTCTTTGACCTCATCGCCATCGTGGCGGGCCTCGTCCAGACCGTCCTGTACTGCGATTTCTTCTACCTCTACATCACCAAAGGTAGCCTCGCCCGCTTGGGGGGCTTGTGCCCACTGCCCTTCGAGGAACTCAAGCCTGCAGCACCTGGCACTCCAGGTCCCTGCTCCTTGTAGTGGGGTCAGGCAGGGCAGGGGCTGATGGGTAGAACTGGTCAGTGTGTCCCGCTGGTGGCTGGGGTCGGGGTGCAGGGTGGGGGACGGGGAAGCTGCTGGCTGTGAGGAGAGCATCCCTGGTCCCTGTGCAGTTGGGGAGTGCCCTCCCTGGCGTCACCCCTCGAGGAGGTGATGCTCAGCAGAGATCTGCAAACTCGGGAGTGTGTCCAGAGGGAGAGGCAGTGAGGTGAAGGCCCGAAACCACGCCCAGGCAAGCCCCACCCCAGCCCTCCTCTCATGCTGCCCTCTCCCGGGCTGGGGGGCAGAGCAGTGGATGCAGAAGCAATGTGGGCCCCAGGTGACTCAGCCCCAGGGGGAGGCCAGGGTGTCCCTCCTGGCCTGCAGGCCCCTGGGACTAACACCCACCCTGCTTTTTCTCCCTGCAGTCCTAAAGGGGAAGAAGCTGAGCTTGCCGGCGTAGCCCTGGTCCTCCCAGTCCTCGATGGCCGCGGGAGGCGTGAGAAGGCGGCGAGGATGAACAGCCTTCCCGTGGGGGGGTGACTTTTTTAAGAACAACCTCTCCCCACTCCCCAGCCCCTCCTGCCGGGTTTCCAGGTGGTTGGGGGTGTACGTGGTGGAGGACCCGGGTCTTGGGGAGCCCAGGACCTGGGATATTTGTAGTTTTTTGCCTTTTAGAAAAGAAAAAGAAATCTTTCCACTATTTAGTTTTTGATTCTGAAACCTCTCTCTTCTTGTGCCCGCCCGGCCCCCGTTTTTATAAACTGTTTCTGAGTGTCCTTTGGGGGCCGGGGGCAGCGGCACAGGCCTTCCCTTGCACATCTCGCCCCGGCCCCACTGGCTGCCAAACACTAACCTGCCACCGCCCGCCCTGCTCCCCGGGGACGCGGGAAAGGAGGCCCAGGACGGTCTCCCAGAATTTTCATAATTTTTTTTTTGCCGAGTTTGGGTTTCTTGTCCTGATTTGTGGGTTTTTTTTTTTTTTTTTTTTTGACAAATTGGGGGTAGGGTGGGGGGAGATCGGGGCTAGGGGATAGAAAAGAGGCCGGCCTTTAGTGATCACAGCTCTCATGTTTTTGTACAGAACTGCCAGTTGATTCTTTGTTCTCTTCAAATAAACCGAGGAAAATGGTACCTCTCTTTCTGCTTCTCCTTGCCCTCTCTGGTGTGTGTGGGGGGATCCTGTCCCAGCCCCGATCTCCGCTGTCGCTGGTGGGCCTGGGAGAAGAGGCTGGGCGGCACAGGGCTCCCAGCTGCCCCAGTCCCTGGTGGCCCTGCTGGGGAAGAGACTTTGGAGGGCATCCAGAAGATTCTTTTTACCTTGGGGCAGCGCTTGCCTGTCAGTCTGACTCCACGCCCCCTGCTCCCAACACACTTGATCCTTCTAGAACCTTCCAGAGGCTCCAGTCCACACCCCTTTAGCATTTTGTTGCCTTGCTCTGTTTTTACAAAAATAACAACAGAATGGGGTCACCAGCCGTTCAAAACCAGATTTGCACGTGCAAAGTCTGGATTTCTGGCTTGTCTTGATAAAGAACCTGTCAGTGTGATGGTGCCAGGCCCTGGTTTCTGGGTGGCGGCAGATGGCCGGGGCTGCATGGCCTGGCTCGGAGCTTGTCTGCGCCGCCCCGGGACCTGGCTCTGCAGCTGACTCCCTGCAGTTTGTGTGTGTGTGGTGCTCGGGGCCGGTCAAGTTCTGGCTCTTTCCGGGCCGGCCTCACACCTGTCCTCTGCCCTTTGGCATCCAGCGCTGGCCAGGCTCTCTGGCTCTTGTCAGCTTTTGGACTTCAAACCCTTGGCCTGGTCATGCTCCCTTGGGAGCCAGGGAGCTGGACGTGTCTTCATGACACCCCAACAGTGGGCCTGGTGATGGGGAAGTGGGGGTGTGGGGGTGACAGGCGGGCTCCCACCCCAGTTGGAGCCCCTGTGTTTGAGCACAGTGGTTTCTTTTATGCTAAAGGACTTTGTCTTGAGGAGGATTCTGCCCAGATGCCCGAGGTGGAAACCACAGGGGTTAGTGTTGGTTTGGGGCATTGCCACCTGCTCAGCTCTGCTGCCCCTCTGTGACCACAGCCTCAGAGCCAGACTAAGTGAGCTGCCAGGATGGGCCGGCTCCAGCAGCGAGGACCTGGGCTCCCATGTCATCTGCCTCCCAGCCCGCTGCACTGCTGCCTTTCCTGTCCAAATGCCTGTGGGGACCATGTCACATCCATTTCCGTCCTGAGCCAGGGCTGGCTGCGTGAGCAGCCTCCACAGGGCCTGACCGAGCTCCAGCTGGACTCCTCACGGCTTAGTCCCTCCACTGGGTGCATCGGCTGCTACTTGGTGGGACACGTGACCCTCTCAGTGTCGTTCGCCCTGTGCTTGAAAGGAGCTTCTTTACATCATCAAAAGCTTTAACTACGTAGTTCTACAACTAGGAGGTGGCAGAGCTGCACTGTCCGGCATAGTAGCCACTTGTTAGGTAACGTCCGCAGAGCAGCGGGGACACGGCCATGCTGAAGAGCTGAGCCATGAGATGTTCCGTGCTCTTGGAGGTAGGTACAGAGGCATGCTAGCACCCAATTTGGAATTTTTATGTTCAGTGCATGTTGAGACGATGCCATCTGGGATATATCGGGTTAAGGAAGCGCTGTCGCTTGATGTCCCATGTCCCTTCTTGCTCTTGTGAACATGGCCACTGCAGCTTCAGCGGGACAGCGAGCCCCCTATGGCCAGCCCCTTAACGGGGCCCTCCTGGAACAAAGCTCCTTCCCGCTTCCCACCATAGGCCTTGGGGTGCTGGGGGACAGAGCTGAGGCACAGGCTCAGTGTCCCACCGCTGGCCCTGTCTGCCAGGCTCCCAGGAGGTGGCAGACTCTCCTCTCTCTGAACCTGAGGTACCCTGGGGGTATCTGGTGCCTCCTTTCTGTAGCTGCAGCGGGGACTACGCTGCGGGCTGACTTGACAGATGTTGTAGGTAATAGGGTCTCCTGCCTGTCGCCTCCTGCCACCTGCCACTTTCAAGGTGGACTCTGGCAGAAGACCCGGGGAGTGGCATGGAGTGGAGACGGCAGAGGCCCCAAGGTGACTCTGTGGTGTCACACCCCACCTCTGGCCACCCCCAGGGCCAGAGGGAAACAGACACAAGAAGGATGGAAAGCTGTTTCAGAAATGCTTCTGGGAGGAGGGTGACCACTTTATCAGCTGGTGAGTGCGCCTAGTCGTCGGGCATCATTGCGAGGCGGGGGCCCTTCGCCATGTAGGGGGACAGGGCGGAGCTGGCATAGTTCAGGCTGGTGGGGCCAGTGGGGGCGGTGTTGACAGGGCTGGTGGCCGAGGGTGGGGACAGGGTGGTGAGCACCACGCCGCCCTCATCCAGCGAGCGCTTGTAGGGCACGGGAGCATCATTCTTGAGGTCCTGTACTGCCAGGTAGGCCTGGCCTATCTGTGGGCAGGAAAGAGTGTGCTGAAGGTTGGCTTGGGCCAGGCAAATGGGCAGAGGGGGTGGGGCCCGGCCAGGGCAGCCATACTGAGTGCTCACAGCCCAAGGGCATATGGCTGAGGGGGGAACCTGGCTGGGGCTGGCACCCCACTCTGGAATCTCAGGGAATTTTCTAGCTCTCACTTGGCCTACAGGGCGTGCTAGGGAAGGGGCTGTCCTCACCCAAATGGGGATGCAGAAGAAGGTGAAGGTGATGGCGGCCTTGGCACTGCTGCTGCCCACGAGGAACTTCTTGGGTGGCGAGTGCTGCCACTGGTTGGCCAGGAAGCAGAACCCCACGAACCAGATGCCTGTCCACAGGACTGTGGCCGTGGGAGGAGAGACGAGGGGCGGGGGAAGGCCAGTCAGGGGAGGCTGGGGGCTCACTGTCTCACCTCATTCTTCCCTGGCCCCATGAGCTGATGCAGAGCTGTGGCTGTTTCCACGTCATTAAAATACAGCATAAGGATGCCGGTGCGATGGCTCAACTGGCTTATCCTCCACTTTGCAGCTCTGGCATCCCACATGGGTGCCAGTTCATGTGTCAGCTGTTCCACTTCCCATCCAGCTCCTTGCTAGTGGCCTGGGAAAGCAGTCAAGGATGGCCCAAAGCCTTGGGACCCTGTACCCACGTGGGAGGCCTGGGGAAGCTCTTGACTCAGGACTGATCCAGCTCTGGCTATTGCGGCCATCTGGGAAGTGAACTGGCAGACGGACAATCTCTTTAACTCCGCCTTTCAAGTAACCTCCCAGAGGGCCCTGGATGGTGCTGGACTCAGTGACCGGGAGGACTCAGGGCCTTGAGGAAGAGAGGGAAGCTGGGAGTGGGCAAAGGAAGCAGCGCTGGAGAGCTCACCGGCCAGGATCAAATCCAGGAGCTGCAGGGCTGTCTTGACGTGGGTGTTGGTGATGCGGGCCTCGCTGGCGTCCAGGGCCAGGAAGGCCAGGCTCGTGAGGAAGGCCAGGCAGCCGGCGCCCACGGCGAAGCTGCAGGCCATGCTGCTGCTGTTGAGCACGCAGTGCAGCTGGGAGGAGTCCCCGCTGTTCTGGTAGCCGTCGGTGAGCAGCGAGGAGAAGATCACCAGGGAGAAGACCTGTAGATTTGCAGGGCTCAGGGTGGGCTACAGCGACCCCAAAGCCTCTCGTCCTCCCCGGCGTGGACCCACCACATAGCCTGCCCGAGGCTTCGTCCCCCCAGCCCACCCCCTCCATGGCTGTGAGTGCAACCCCACCCAGGATGGGCTCTCCTTGGCTTCCCCTCCCCTCCTCTTCTAATTTCACCTCTTGCCCGTGCCCTGCTCACATCTTGCTCCACACTCCCCTTCTGCCGCTAAGTCCCAGGCACTGAGAGAAGATGCTGTGGGTCCATGGCCCAGGGATGGACCACCAAGCACACCCACAACTTGGAAATTTCTTCTCAGCCTAGCCAGTTCCTGTTCATTTTTTCCCCCAAAAATAGTATTTGCGAAATAAGTCCAAAGCACAGAGAAATGTGACAGCCAGCCAGTACAGACTGCTTGGAATGAGTATCTTTTTGGGGGGCAGGGGCAGGGGTGGGCCCAGGATTTAGGGAGTAGCCCCCGCAGAGAACAAGCTTGCTGCCTTGCGTGTGCGTGGTGCCACAGTCTGCCCACCGCCGAGGTCCTCTGCACATGCCAACCCAGGCCATCCCCATTTCCTAGACAGTTAGACTGAGGTGCACAGGGGATCAGGAGCGCTGGCTGAACACGCTGGCTGGCGGTGGCATGCCTGGGGTTGGAACCCTCTGCTGGCCCTAAGGCCCCTGGGGGGCACGGGACCCTCCTGTTCGGTGAACCTGTGGAGCCCCTGTTCCCGGCCCAGATGCCTGGATCTGTGTCAGGCACAGAAGGAGCCTGCGTGTACCTGGGGTCAGGGTGGGTGGTTCAGGACGCGGTGCGAAGGCTGAGAAAGGCTTAGTCATGGGGCACTGTTGGGCCACAGGCAGGCACTGGGGGGTGTGTGTGTGAGCAGGGGAGGGGCTCCCAGGGCTGCGGGCAGGTGGGCAGAGGGGGTGAGGAGAGGAAGACAGGCGGGGGTCTGAGGGATCCTGAACAGCGAGGTGTCTTCAAGACAGGCGGGAGGAGGCAGGGCTTCCGCAGGAACACCAAAGAGGTCCGGCGGAAGACAAGCAGGCAGAGCCTCTCCACACGGGCCTGGGCCGGGCAGCCTGTGAAGCTGCATTTCTTGCTCGGGTTTAATCTCCCGTATCAAAGTGCTGTGAGCAGAGGATGACAAGGAAGGTCACACCTGAGGTCCCCAGGCAGCTGGGCGCCAGGCCCACAGAGCTGAGGGAGGGCTGCCGGCGAGGCTCAGGCGGGAGGCGCCCAGACCAGAGCCTGCGCAGGCAGGTGATATCTAGGACAGAAAATTGGACTTGCTGATGGATTGGATGCGGTGGCGCTGGCGGTGGGGCCTGGTGGGGGAGTGAACTGAGGCACAGCGTCCGAATCTTCTCCTTCGTTAAAGCATTCCAGCTCCTGACTGGGGCGGGCTCAGGCGGGAGCCTCCCTGGCACCCTGGCAGCCAGCACCCAGCGGTGCGCAGGGCCTCAGCTTTAACATGTGTTCAGAGAGCGAATAATTTTGGCTTCTTGGCTCTTACCCGTGACCTTCAGAGTGGGCCGGAGGAGGCAGAGGACTGACCCTTAAACGCCTTGGCTGCCTCCAGCCTCCTCTCGCTTGGGCTTAATTGCCTTCTCCAAACGCCAACAAGGACAAACAAACTCTGCTGCCAAGCTCGGGCCCTGACCAAGGGTACTTGCGTCCACTGCCTCCTTGGATCCTCGCAGCAGCCTCAGGGGGCGGCTGCAAGCTGATCCTGCGGAAGGGAGGGGGTAGTGCTTGGTCCTGCCAGGCAGCCCGAGGCACGGCCAGGTGGAGGGCAGAAAGTGCCATCCATCATGTCGGTGCCCACATCCATCTCACCTGCGCCACCTCCCTGGAACCTCGCCCCAGCCCCACGCAGGCCACAGCGTTCATCTCTCTCACAGGTGATAAATCGAGCCATCAGGGCAGAGTGGAAAGAGCCAGATGTGTCTGACTCGGCCAGCTGTGTGGCCTCGGGCCTCAGTTTCCCAGTCTGTCTGTACTGACGCGGGGAAGCGGGGCAGATGGGAAGGACAGGCACTCGGTCCAGGCAGGTGCTCAGGAGAAGGGGGTTAGAGACGGAGCATCCCGCTGAAGTCAGCCGGCGGAGGCAGGGGCCCTGGACTCCAGCCTCCTGATTCGCGCCCTTTGGGCTCCGATTCCGCTGACCCCAACTCGGGCCCTGCCGCAGGAGGCCCGAGCAGGAGGCTCGGCTGGGCTGGCGGGACCCTCTCCCCTCCACGGCCTGAGCCCAGCCTCCTCCACACCCTCCTGACCAGTCCCCTGGGGAGGGAGCAAAGATTCATCAGTTAAGGCACCAGCTGGCAGGCGGCTGCGGGAAGGACAAGAGTACCAGCTGCCCAGACTCCCTGCTGGGGAGCCGGGCCAGGGGGGAAGGAGGCGAGGGCAGCGGGCAAAGTCTGTGACCATGACCTCTTGTGCATCCGCCGGCCCGATCCCCGTCCTTCCCTGCATCAGGCGGTTCCCACCAGCCGGGCCACCCCTGCTGGCCTCCTGCCCCATCCCCAAGGCTCTGGAGTGGGGGGACGGCGCCCCCAGTCTGATCTGCTCAGCAGCTAAATGATGTCCTTGGGCAAGTCACCTGGGCTCCAGGAGCCTCAGTGTCCCCCTGGGTCAAGCAGGGGTGGTCACGTCCCTGTTGCAGGGTCACGGGAGCGAGCGAGGGACCTGGTCTGGGAACAGGGTAGTCACAGTGCCCCTCCTGTCTTGGGGAAGGACAGTGTGACACGAGGCCCTATCACCAGACAACCATACCCCCCGCCCCGGGCCCAGGGGAGGGGAAGTCACAGCTGTGCTCCTCTGCAAGTCATGACTCCTTCCAAGAGCAGCCCCTGCATGGGCACGGGGCTTGCCAGTCCCATGCCAGCTGCTATGGCAGGCGTGCCTTCGCTTCATCCACATTGCCATGCTATGTGCGTGCCAGCCAGCTGTTGGGAGCCTGCTCTTTACAATGAGGGTGCGGGGGCTCAGACAAGCCAGCTGCTCAGGGTCGCATGGGCATGCGGGGAGCAGATGGGTCATGGGAGAAAACAGGGCCCCTGTGAGGGGGCTGGGAGGCGTGGCTGCCTCAGGCGAAGTGGGGTCCCCCACCCTGACACCCTGTGCTGCTCTGGATTCAACCTGGTGCTTGGTCTATGAGTTCCCGTGAGAGGCTGTGGGAAGGGAATCTTGGGGAGCCCGTCCTCCCGTGACCCTAAGCAAACCCCCAAACCCACTGGCTCTCAGTTTCTAGTTCCGCCCAAGCTGAGCCACAGAGGCAGCCCAGGTTAAAGGCCAGGGCCTTGGCTCCGACCCCGCAGGCAGAGGAACCAAGGGGCGCTCCAAGGGGTCCACATTCCTGGGGGAGGGGGCCATGACGAAAGGCCACTAAGCCCTTTGCCCAGTGCCTGGCACACTATGCCCTCTGAGCCCCTGGCACCTTAGATCTACGTGACTCTCTTCCCACCTGTGTGTACCTCTCTTCCCAAGGTCCAGCCTGTCCCCCTACACCCTGGCCTGCCTGCGAGGTAGAGGAGGAAGGGGCTGAACCCTGGCCCTGCCTCTACATGATCTTAGCCAAGCACTGTCCAGTAGAACTTTCTGGCCTGCTGCGAAGGTTCCATGGTGGCGCTGTCCAGTGGTAAAGCCACCAGTCACACGTGGCCCTGGAGCACCTGAACGATGGTCACTCCACAAGAGGGTGAGATTTCAATTCACTCCGCTGGAAATAGCCACAAACTGGACAGCACACTCCAAAAAAAATTACTGGGACTGCTGTGATTGGTCCTCTCCCTGTGCGTGCCAGCATCCCACGTGGGCACTGATGCATATCCTGGCTGCTCCATTTCCCATCATACTCCCTGCTAATGTGCCTGGAAAGCAGTGAAGAATGAACCGAGTGCTTGCGCCCTGTGCCCTTGAGGGAGACCCGGTGGAGTTCTGGCTCCTGGCTTCGGCCTGCACCAGCCCCTGCAACTTGGAGCGTGAACTAGCAGATGGAAGATTGCTCTCTCCCTGCCTTCTCTGTCACTCTTTCAAATACACAAATAAATCTTTAAAGAAAGATTCCTTAAAGAAATCTTTTTAAAGAAATCTTTAAAGAAAAGAAAAAAATACAGGCAGGCGGCTTCAGCTATCAGCCCCCTTTGCTATGCTTCCCTGCTCTGCGCCCCGCTGGGTCTGAGTGTCCAGGACACCTGTTCCGTCCCCGGGGGTGCCAGCGGGCCGCCAGGGGTGCCAGCGGGCCGTGCCAGGGCCTCCTCACCGCTGCGAGCAGCCGCATAATGGTCTTGGGCCTCTTCAGGAACTGCACAGCCTCGCTGTCCGCCAGGTCCTGGAGGCTTTCAGGGATGTGCATGGCGGCTGCTCTGCTCCTGGAGCCCTCGGAGGACAGGGCAGGGACGCTGGGAGCCGCCTGCTCGGGGCTGCTGCCTGGGGGCTCCAGCCCCACCCACGGGCTCGGCTGCTGCAAGACAAGATGGCAGGGGCAGGTGGTCAGGGACTCGGGAGGCGGGGGCAGGACTGCTGGGGGCCCCAGAGAGGGGCGTGCGAGATCCCTGTGTGTTTGGGGGTCGCTGGCAGGAATGGGGTTACATGGGTAAGGGCTGCCAGGGGTCAGGGCAAGCGGTGAAGGAGCTGCTGGAGGCCCCAGAAATGGGGGTACTACAGGGTGGGGGCTGCTGTGGGCCTCAGGAGTCAGGAATGAAGGATGAGGGGGCTTCTGGGCAGGGTGTCCTGGGAATGCGGAAGCAAGCTGAGGGGGCTACTCGGGGTTCCAGAAGTCAGAAATGTGGGTGGGGAGCCCCGAGGTGGGGATGGGTGAGGAGGGTCCTGGCCGAAGGACCCTTCTGGGGTGTCGGGGGGAACAGAGTGTCCGCAATGGAAGTCGGAACCCCCACATGGCTGAGCCACAGCGGCCCTTGGGCCTGGGGCGGCCAGCTCAGCCACTCTTTGAAGCTGCCCTTGCGGCCAGGGCTGCACCCCCGAATCAAGGCCTCCCCTTGGAATGCTGCGCCATTTTCCTGAAAGCGCGCTTCCTCAAAAGCGGGGAGTCCGGGCCCGCGCCCTGTGCCAGGACTCGACAGTGTCCCCAGGCCCCTGGCGCCAGTCTACCTTCTGAGAACAGGGGGCGTCGCTGGTGGACACAGGCCCCTCCCGAGCTCCACAGGACAGGTCTGCGTCACCGGGAAGCCCGCCCTTCCTGCCGCCCTCCCGCCCGCCCTCCCGCTCCCCGGGCCGCCTCAGCCTGCTTTGGATTCCGCTTTTTTTCCCGCCTTTTTTTGCATTGCCATAGCTGATTGGCTGAATTAGAGCCACGCCCCCTACGCGCCAGCCTCCTCGCATGCGGACACGCTCGGGGGCGGGGCTTCGGCGGACGTTGGGCGTCTCGCCGTTGGCGGGAGGAGCGCGCGAGCCCTGCCCCGCCCCTTCCCTTTGAAGCTGGCGGACAAGGAGACGCTTCTGACACGCATGCGCCAGGCCCGAATGAGGTCAGGACGGGGGCTAGGCCAACAGATGGCGCATGCGCTTTACTGAGAGTTGAAGCCGAAGCCCGGGGGGCTTAGGAAACCCTTCTGCACATGCGCAGAAGGCTCAATGACAGCTGAGCGTTGGCTAAGGTGAGGGCGAGGCGAGGGACTGCGTGGCCGGGGGAGGGCGGCCCTGCACCTCCAAGTAGCCTTTTGGAGCATTTCCTCCAAGTCGAGACCCTAAAGAAGCCAGTTGCGTTACTAGTGGGTCACCAGGTCTACAAAACGCCCCAGAACCTAAGATGTGACCCATGTGGAGGACTCCGGCCAGCCATGGGAGGGGAAGGGCAAAGGGGCGGCGGGGCAGCGGGAGCGGCCGAGTCCTGGCAGGGCGGAGAGCACCGGTCATCCCGGTGACCTTTGGCCTCTTGTCATTCCCCTCTCTCTAGGCTCCCAGGAAAGGGTGTGGCTATGTTGCATGTGACCCGCGGGGTCTGCGGGTCCAGGGTCCGACTATGGCCCCTGTTGCCCGGGCTCCTCGGGCGCCCGCGGGCTCTGTCATCCCTGGCGGCCAAGATGGGGGAGTACCGCAAGATGTGGAACCCCACGGAGCCCCGCGACTGGGCCCAGCAGTACCGCGAGCGCTTCATTCCCTTCTCCAAGGAGCAGCTGCTCCGCCTCCTCATCCAGGTACTGTCGGAACCTGGGGCTCGGAGCCTGGGGACTACGATTCCCGGCAGCCTTCGCGGCGGCGGGGCGCTACTTGCTACAAAGGGATGCGCTGACGCCTCCTGGGAGTTGTAGTCTCCAATCCGTCGTCGCTAGTCACACCTTGGGGCAAGACTTCTGAGCTGCAGGTGCGGCCTCAGTTCCCCGGTTCTGGGTTGTTCTGGAGCCATGAAAGAACTCTCTTCACAGAGCATGATATTTTTTTTTCCCACCCTTTGTAGAATAGATAATCAAATCTTGATTATCGCCCCCATTTTTTGTGCTACCCAATAGTAATTATACTTAGTGTCACCTGAGCTCTTGCTCTGGGGCCTCGCACCAAGCGTTCTGTCACGTGACCCCATCACTGCCTTCACTGGGTAGATGACTTGAGGGAAGTATTTGGAAGCAAAGTAAGCCACCCAAGGTCACGGGCTCGAGCTGAAGTGGTCCTCATGCCGGCTGATGGAGCCCAGCCCCTGGAAGTGCTGTGTGGTGGTCCCCAAGGAGTTTTTCTTTATGTTGTTTTTTGTTTTGTTTTAGAGAAAATATCTGCTTCTTTATCAGAGTTAAAATGGGCTTGAGAGGCAGGCAGAGGACTGCTTTCAGTTGGCGCTCTCAAATGCCCTCTGTGACTTAAAAAAAAATTTTTTTTTAAACGTATTTATTTTGGGGCTTGGTGCAGTAGCTTGGAGGCAAAAGTTCTCACCTTGCACACGCCAGGATCCCAAATCGGCGCTGGTTCTAATCCTGGCTGTTCCACTTTCCATTCCTGCTTGTGGCCTGGGAAAGAACGGCCCAAAGCTTTAGGACCCTGCGCCTGCATGGGAGACCTGGAGGAGGCTCTGGGCTCCTGGCTTCGGATTGGCTCAGCTCCAATCGTTGTGCTCACTTAGGGAGTGAATCATCAGAAGGAAGATCTTCCTCTCTGTCTCTCCTCCTCTCTGTATACCTGCCTTTGCAATTAGAAAGGCAGATTTATAGAAAGGACAGAACTCTTCTATCTGCTGGTTCACTTCCTAAATGGCCACAATGAGCAGAGCTGAGCCCATCTGACCAGGAGCTTCTTCTGAGTCTCCCACATGGGTGCAGGTGCCCTAGGACCTGAACCATCCTCCACTGCTTTCTAGGCCATCAGTACGGAGTTAGATCAGAAGTAAGAGCAGCTGGCACTTGAACTGATACCCATATGGGATGCAGGCACTTGCAGGAGAATTATGCAATTGAACCAACGTGTCAGCCCCTAAATTTATATCATTTGAAAAGCAGAAGGCTCAGCACAGCAGCCTAGTGTCTGAAGTCCTCGCCTTGCATGTGCCGGGATCCCAGATGGGTGCTGGTTCATGTCCCAGCTGCTCCACTTTCCATCCAGCTCCCTGCTTATGTCCTGGGAAAGCAGTCGAGGATAGCCCAAAGCCTTGGGACCCTGCACTGCATGGAAGACCCGGAAGAAGCTGGCTCCTGGCTTCAGATTGGCTCAGCTCCAGCCGTTGTGGCCACTTGGGGAGTGAACCAATGGATTGAGGGGATGGAGGACCTCTTTTCCTTTTTTCTTTTTTTAAAGATTTCTTTTTTTTTTTTTTTTTCACAAAGTCAGATACAGAGAGAAAGAGAGACAGAGAGGAAGATCTTCCGTCCGATGATTTACTCCCCAAGTGAGTGCAATGGCTGGTGCTGTGTCAATCTGGAGCCAGGAACTTCCTCCAGGTCTCCCTCGTGGGTGCAGGGTCCCAAGGCTTTGGGCCGTCCTCGACTGCCTTCCCAGGCCACAAGCAGGGAGCTGGATGAGAAGTGGAGCTGCCAGGATTAGAACCAGCATGTTCAAGGTGAGGACTTTAGCTGCTACGCCACCACACTGGCCCGATTTATTTATTTCTATTGGAAAGTCAGATTTACAGAGAGGAGGAGAGACAGAGAGGAAGATCTGTCACAAGGAGAATTGTATGGGAAGCAAGACAGCTGGGACACGAACTGGCTCCCGTATGGGATTCTGGCACGGTGCGGGCAAGGCGAGGACTTTAGCCACTAGGTTACTGTGATGGGCCGTGAAAATCTTTGTCTCTCCTGTTCTCTGTAAATCTGACTTCCCAATAAAAATAAATAAATCTTAAAAAAAAAAAAAAAAGGCAGAAAGATACAGAGAGAATGAAAGGCAGAAATCTTCTACCCTCTGGTTCACTTCCCAGATGGCCGCAACAGCCAGGGCTGGGGGCCAAAGCTGGGAGCTCGGAGCTGCGTCCAGGTCTCCTGCGTGGGTGCGGGACCCCAATACTTGAGCCTTCACCTGCCTCTCCGGTGCTCTTAACGGAAAACAGAACCGGGTGGGGGGAGAACTGGGACTTGAACCCAGGAGCGGGAAGGAGATCTCAAGAGAATGTCTGCTCTCTGAGGAAACAGGAATTCCACTCCAGCCCCACGGAGAAGGCGGCCCTGGAGGAGTTCTCAGCCCATGTGGACTTCTGTACCCTGTTCCACTACCACCAGGTCCTGGACCGGCTGCAGGTGAGGCCAACCTGTTGCACCTGCTGAGAGCCTCGCGCTGCGGCTGAGGCCTGGATGCAGCGGGGCGGGGCGGGGCGGGGTGGGGTTGGGGGGGGGTGGAAGAGGGCCAAGAGGAAGTGGCGAGGCATGGGCAGGGGCCTCAGGGCTCCCTGTGAGAGCGGCAGGGAAGAGCAGGTGCCAGGCCCAGTGGTGAGAGTGGGTGAACCCTGTCAGTGGAACAGCAAAGGGAGGGACACAGGCGGGGAGATGGGAACAGACCTTGTGGGTGTCGGGGGTGTGTCTGGCTGTGACCCCCAGTGAGCAGGACAGCTGTGGGCAGAGGGAGGACTGAGCGGCCCCGGTGTGTGTGTGTGTGTGTGTGAGAGAATGGGATCCGGGTGGCTCTCGCGTCTCCTCCCAGGGTTAGGCCTGGGCCTGTGCTCTCCCAAGACCCCATCAGGTTCGCTGGTTTTCCCGAGGGACCCTGGGCAAGTAACGTTGCAAGGCGGGGGAAGGGACACTGATAAAGATGGGCAGAGGCCAGAAGAGACCCTGTAGGCTTGTCTACCCCTTCCTGGCCCACAGTGATGGCAGTGGACATCGTAATGACATGGTCACTGAACTTCGTCAAACTGATACGCGCTGGCCCACGCGGCCCCGGCCACAAAATGTGCAGTAGGCGGGGACTGGCAGGGCCCCAGGCTTAGCCAGACTTGCTGACCGGGGCCGCACGCCAGGTGGCTCCAGGTCACGGCCCTGTGTGCAGTGTGCAGGGTTTGGACACACAGGCATGTTCTGAGTCCCCACTTCATGCTTCCCACCACTGCCCTCCCTGCCGGCGCTCGGCTTTGGGTAACGTGCTCACCGCCAGGGGCCTCTGCGCTGCTTCCTGCAGCCCCTTGAGACACTGCTTAGGCAGACAGGCCCTGAGAGTGGCCGTGGTCATGCAGTTCACAAGCCCCTGTTGCCTCGTGCTGGGTACTTTTCTGTTTTTCCTTTGTTAAGATTGATTGATTGATTTGAAAGGCAAGAGTTACGGTAGGAGGGAGGTGGGTGAGAGAAAGATCGCCCGTCCTCTGATTTAGTTTCCAGATGGCTGCCAAAAGCCAGGGACTCCATCTGAGTCTCCCACTGGGTGCAGGGACCCAAGCAGGGGGGCCGCCATCCGCTGCCTTCCCAGACACACTAACAGAGGGCTGGGTGGGAAGTCAAGCAGCCGGGACTTTTATTGGATTCTGTGGCATTGCAACCTGTGGCTGGCCCTTGTTTTTCTTTTTTAAATTTTTTTTCCAATAACGCATTAAGGCATCGGGATGTTTTAAGTGTGTAAAAATAGATATACTTTCATCTCCAAAGCACAAAGCTTTCCCCAGTGGTGCTGAGGGGCTCTGGTGGGAGGGGTAGGGGCGGGTGAGGCCCGCAGCGTGGCCAGTCCGCCTGGGGGGGGCAGAGGGCGAGAGCAGTGCCACGGAGGCAGACTGACTCCCCATCCCCTGCTCGGCAGGCATCGGCTGCCCTCTGTCTCACCCTCCCTCGCCATCTTGCTGCTCAATAAATCTTCATCAAGCGCCTATCGTGTTCCCAGAATGGTCACCCTGAGTGACAGATGTCCCCCTAGCCAGGGAACGTGGTGCCCGTGGTGAAGAGTTAGCCAGGGCAGTGGGAGGGCGCTCGGAGCAGGGATCGGGCCTCCAGGCCCAGGAGGAGCCATCTCCCGGGGCTGCCCTGACGAAGGGCTGGGGCTGCCGACCCACTGACCGAATGCTCCATCCCCGGGCCAGGGGTGCGGGACCGAGGAACGGGCTGGGCTGTCAGGGTGAGGGCACCCCTGCCTGGTGACGCCTCGTTGCCACTGCACCCCATCCTCATATGGCCTTCTTCATCTCTGTGTGTCTTTCTTTCTTTCCTTTTTAAAGATTTATTTATTTCTATTGGAAAGTCAGATATACAGAGAGGAAGAGAGACAGAGAGGAAGATCTTCCGTCCAATGGTTCACTCCCCAAGCGACAGCAGTGGCTGGAGTTGAACTGATCCAAAGCCAGGAGCCAGGGCTTCTACTGGGTCTCCCACGCAGGTGCAGGGTCCCAAGGCTTTGGTCTGTCCTCGACTGCTTTCCCAGGCCACAAGCAGGGAGCTGGATGGGAATTGGAGCTGCCGTGATTAGAACCGGCGTCCATATGGGATCCTGGCATGTTCAAGGTGCAGACTTTAGCTGCTAGGCCAACGCGCTGGGCCCCTGTTTTTATTTTTTTAATGAACTCTTCCTTTCATTCATTCATTCATTCATTTACCTGAGAGGCAGAGAAACAGAGAAAGTGAGAAAGCAAAGGACACCGCTGGCCCCGATGCAGCCCTACTTCCTCCCCAGCTCACTGCCTGTGGCTGGGAAGGCAGTCGAGGACGGACCCTGCACCCGTGTGGGGGACCCGAAAGAAGTTCCTGACTCCTGGCTTTGGATCAGCTCAGCTCTGGTTGTTGCAGCCCCTTGGGGAGTGAGCCAGCAGATGGAAGATCTTTCTCTCTGTCTCTCCTTCTCTCTGTTTATCTGATTTTCCAATAAAAATAAGTAAATCTTGAAAAAAAAAAAAAAAGAATTTAACACAGCACCACCTGCTGGTTCAATGTCAAGTGTCCATAGCCGCCAGGCCAGAGCTGGGAACTCAGTCTGGGTCTCCGACGCGTGGCGTGGCCTGCGGGGCCCCTGGGTGAGCATTGGCAGGGAGCTGGCCAGGAAGGAGGGCGGCCGGGGCGTGGCCGGCAGCCGCTGGCCCTGCAGTCCACTGCACCCTGACTTCCTGCCGACCCCTCGCTTGTGGAGGAGGGCAGGCTGGGAAGCTCCGAGGGGAACAGGGGAAAATACAGCACCGAAGTCTTCATTGGAGGAATGTGGCCTTTCAGGGGACAGTCTCTGTCCAGCATGCCCGTGAACGTTGAATTTCAGATGAGCTAAGGGGACATTCCGTGTGGTGGTGGTGAGTGCGCGCGTATCTCAGCTCCCGAAGGGGATGCATTTCAGCTGCAGTTATTTGTTGTGACAGCATTTGGGGTGTCCTTATCCCCTCTGGGGGAAAATAAAAGTTATCTGTTGCTGATGTGAAATTTAAGTTTAACTGAGCGTCCTGAACTCATTTCTTCTCTAAGTCTGGCAATGCGAGTTCAATAGAAGAAGGAAGAAAGAAGGAAGTCTGTAGATGGTGGGTTTCAGGTGAAGTAGCCGTCGGGGTGGTGGGAACAGCGGGTGTACAAGCCCTCCGTGGGCTGTGTGCACGGTGCCCGCGAGCAGGGACGGCCCCCAGGAGAGGGAAGCCAGGCCAGCTCCTGCAGCGCCTGGCACGGAGCGACGAAGACGTGGCCTTGACGCCTGGCGTGCCCAGCAGCAGAGGCTGGGGCGTCCCCTGGTGGCTCCTCGGGGAACAACTGGGAGCAGTCAGATTTAAGGGCCACAGTTCTGTGCAAAAGCCACTGGATGTGGGTGAAAAGGGCCCGGACTTTGCATCCTTTTGGAACTCGGATCCAGCAGGGTTTGCTGATGAGCCAGGCATTTGAGAAAAGAAAGGTCGAGGAGTGACCCCAGGCTGGGCACCTGAGCACCTTGGGAGGGTGAGGGGCACCTGCTGGGGTGGGAACCATGGTGACAGGAGCTGCCTGGGACCGGGGGATAGAGAGGGAACGGGACCTCGGTTTGGGATGCTATGGGCTTGGGTGGGTGTCCTTGTAGAGAGGCCCGAAGGGTGGAGCCCAGGTGAGATGCCCCAGCTGCCGAGAGAAACCCCCAGAAGACGGGCATGCTTGTGGTCTCCAAGGGGGTGCAGGGCGGTTACCACAGAGGCCCAGTTCATCTCTGTCTCTCTCAGCAGGTGTGTGGCTGAGGTCTACTGGGCAGGGGAGTCAGGATGCTGGCCCTGGGCGGTGGGGAACCTCCCGTGTTCCCGGTGGTGATGGCCAGGGTCACCGGTCCATGCAGCCGGCTCACAGAGCTGACCGTGGCGTTCGCACAGATGAGCCAGGGGCTTCCTCTAGCCGATGGCTGTCCGCTCTGGCAGCCACTGGCCTTGTGTGGCTTTTAAGTGTTGGCTGATGAAAAACCAAGAGGACAATAACGAGCAGAAGCTGTGCCTCAGTTGGCATCACGCGGCAGATGCTCCGTGGACAACGTCGACCTCGTTGGTCCCTGTAGGAAGTTCTGTTGGGTGGCGCCATCTTTTACCCTCTGCTTGCATCCGACTGTTGAGGTCCCTTATATCTGGCACCTTGTGCAGTGCACAACTTGGGTCAGAGTGGCCCTGTTGTTCACAGTTAAGATCCAATCCTTATACTTCAAAGTAAGAGAGGAGAGACACAGAAAGATGTTTTCCATCCACTGGTTCACACCCCAAATGGCCACTCTGGCCAAAGATGAGCTGGTCAGAAGTCAGCTGCCATGAGCTTCTTCTGGGTCTCCCACATGGGTGCAGGGTCCCAGACTCTTGGGCAGTCATCTGTTGCTTTCCTAGGTCATAGTCAGGGAGCTGGATTAGAAGTGGAGCAGCCAGGACTCAAACTGTTAGCCGCATGGGATGCTGGCACTTGCAGGCAGAGGAGTAGTCAGTGGAGCTGTTGCACTAGCCCCATTTCACTTAGAAAGAGAGGCAGAGACTGTCCGTCTGCAGGTTGACTCACTCCGTGGGCTCAGGGACCGGCCAACTGAAGCAGGAACCCAAGAACAGGCTGTTGCTTTGCTTCCCGGAGTTTGCACGAGTGGGAGGCCAGAGCCAGGAGCTGCACCCAGGCATCTGATATGGAAGGTGGTCAGGGGCCTCAGCCCCCAGGATGCAATGGCCAACAGGCAGGAAGGAACAGGGAGCAGCTCCCAGCGGGTGCCAAGGCCTGCAGCCCCCGTGCAGCTTCAGGGGTGGGAGCATGGCCTTACAGGCCGTGTCTTGCGTGCAGGGCAGGGCAACCCTGGCACCGGTTCTATCAGGACACGGATAGGATCGCCCGTGTCAGTTCCCCTTGCGTTTCCTGGCTGAGGCCGTTCCTTGTCTCTGGATGCCTCAACTCCCACCTCTGTCACTCAGGGTAACCCAGGCGCGCGCGTGTATGTGTGTGTGTGTGGCCCGTGCTGCTGTCATAGCTCCTTGTCATCCCGCGGCCAGAGGGGAGCAGGCCGTGCCGGGGGCAGGAGTAGGCGCTGGGTCAGGCAGGGCGGTACATATCACATGTGTGTGACATCCAGGTCCCTGGCCAGGGGAGAAGTGGGCGGGCGTGGATGGGATGCAGCTTTCTCTTCCCTGGCCTTGGAACCTCTCATGAGTCTGAGAAGGAGGCCTCCAGGGCCACTTGGCCAAACCCAGGCCTTGGCCACATACCTGTCACTGACTGCCACACCCCATCACAGGCTGAACCCCCAGTGGGAATCTCTCCTCCCCTTGCCCCTTCTTCTGCTGTTCAAAGACATCCCTGGTTGTGACAAGCCACCCCCACCCCCGTGATTGGCCCATGGAGGCGTGGACTCAGGGAGCATCTGATCTCTCTGTGTTTGGGATGTGGTGGGAGCAGGTGTCGTGGGATCCTGAGTCTCAGTCCACCATGGGTGAGGCGGGCCAGGCCACAGGAAGCTGGCTCTCCAGCCACTTCTGTGGGCAGTGGGGCCTGGGGGACATCCTGTGGGCAGCTTCCTGAGTCCCGGTGGCTGCGAGCCGACTCCTGTTCTCTCTCCTCAGGCCTTGTATGACCCCATCAACCCTGACAGGGAGACCCTGGACCAGCCGTCGCTCACCGACCCCCAGCGCCTGTCCAATGAGCAGGAGGTGCTTCGGGCCCTGGAGCCCCTGCTGGCCCAGGCCAACTTCTCCCCACTGTCCGAGGACACCCTGGCCTACGCACTGGTCGTCCACCACCCTCAGGACGAGGTCCAGGTGCCTGTCTTGCAGAGGAGAACCTGAACTCCCAGGATGCTTTTGGGGCAGGGGCTGCTGGGAGTTGTAGTCCTGAGCCGGGGCAGAAGGCCGTGTGGTATCCACCCTTGGTGAGTTAGCAACAGGCTGCGCTCTGAGGTCATTTCCTGCTGTTGGGTGGGACGATGTGGTGAGGTGCCCGTCTTCCTAGGGCTGGAGATGCGTAACAATGAATCATACAAAAAGCCCAGCCTTTCAGGTCAACGAATTCTAAAATTCTTCCACCAAAGCCCTACGGTTGGAGATTTTAAGACATTTTCCTGAAGTAATATTCAGTCAACTCTGAATCATCTCTGAAATTGGGTGTGACTTAAAAAATGGTGGCAGCCCACGGCTTCATTGACTATAACTTTCTGTATGTTTTTTGAAGAATTCTGTTGTTAATCTGAAAGGCGGGGAGTTACAGAGAGGGAGAGGGAGATCTCCCATCTGTTGGTTCACAAATGGCAGACGGCTGCAGCTACCGGGGCTGGGTCCAGCCGAAGCAAGAGCTTCCTCCGGGTCTCCCACGGGGCTGCAGAGTCCCAAGGACTTGGGCCGTGCTCCATACTTCCCTGGGGCATGTTAGCAGGGAGCTGGATGGGAAATGGAGCAGCTGGAGCACGAACCAGTGCCTGTATGGGATGCTGGGCTACAGGCAGAGGCTTAGCTGGCTAAGCCAGGGTGCCTGTCTGCCTGCCCCTGTCGGCTGGTTCACTTCCCAGATGGCTGCAGCAGGTCTCCCTGTGGGTGGCGGGGACCCGAGCCCCTGGGCCAGGTCTCCCCTGTGGGTGGCGGGGACCCGAGCCCCTGGGCCAGGTCTCCCTGTGGGTGGCGGGGACCCGAGCCCCTGGGCCAGGTCTCCCCTGCCATCGCAGATGGGTCAGTGGGACACTGGATGGAAAGTGGGGCAGCCGTGGTTTTGAAGCACCGCTCTCGACGGGCAATGCCCAGGCCACAAGGGGCAGCCTAGCCCAGCACAAGGCTGCATTTTCTTTTGCAGTTGCTTCATGAAATCATTGAGTATGTTAAAATCTTAGACTCCAGGAAATATGGTGACACAGGCGGGGGGTGTGGCTCAGGACAACGGGAGCAGCCACATGCGGTCACCCTGTCTGGACACTGAAGTGCTGATAAGTGAGGGGGCTCTCCCTCCACAGCTCCCCAGCCCGTGTCCAGCTGCCTGTGCCCCTGCGTTCTGTGCAGGTGACCATAAACTTGGACCAGTACATCTACATGCAGTTCTGGGCTCTGGGCCAGCGTGTGGGGCAGTTGCCCCGGAAGTCCAGGCGCGGCTTCTTCACCAAGCAGCCCCCCGCAGAGAGGTGAGGCCGCCCAAGGGGGGCGAGGCTAGGGGCCAGGGGTCCCCGCTGAAGACAAAGTGTCAGGGTGTGGGAGACTGGGTTGGAAGGAGTGGCTCAGAGGGGGAGGCCACAGTTGTGAAAAAGCTGCACAGCCCAATTGGGACACCCCGTCAACGTTTCCAGTCCCCCCTCTGTCCGGCCCACACAGCCAACTTGGGTTGTTATCAGCCTGGATAACAGGCTGGCGGGGGGCTGCTGCTCCAGGCGCTGGCGGAGGGCTGCCCAGGTGTGGGTCCCAGTGCCTCGCACCCCCCACTTCCCAGGAGGTACTTTAAGCGGGTGGTGTTGGCGGCGCGGACCAAGCGGGGCCACCTGGTACTGAAGAGCTTCAAGGACACGCCGCTGGAGGGCCTGGAGCAGCTGCTGCCGGAGCTGAAGGTGCGCACTCCCACGCTGCAGCGTGCCCTGCTCAACCTCACCCTGGTCGTGTCTGGCGTGGTCTTCTTCGTCAACGTGGGCATGGTGGTGCTGTCCGACCTCAAGATGGCCACTTCCCTGCTGCTCCTGCTGTTTGCCGCCTTCATGGGCCTGCGGGCCTCCAAGGTAGGCGCTGACCGCCCTGTGGTGTGCTGGGGCCCCCCACGCGATCCTAGTCCTGGTGGCGCTCACCTCGGCTGCCCTGCGGGTGAACCCACGCGAGGCCCTGGGGACTGTGCCCGATGGGGTCAGGCTGGCCATGTGTACTCTGAGAAACAAACCAGGAGCGTGGGGGCGTCCTCGTGTCCCGGAACAAGCCCCTGGGCCCTTCTCTGGGCCTCACAGTTACGCGGGTGGTGGTGGGGCAGGTGGCAGAGAGTAGGGTTCGTGCCAATTTGCCATCAGAGCCATTATTAGTATGACACATTGTGCTGTTTATTCCTGGAGTCCTCCCCTACACTGGGGACAGTGGTGATGGTGGGGTGGGGTTGGGAGCAGGTCTGTCAATGAGTTAGCCCAAAGAGAGCAACTTGAAAACTCTGGGCCCTCGATTCTGCCCCCCGACTCAGCCATATGTGTGCATGTGCCCGGCTGGTTCACCCTTCCACACATCTGGGCTGCCCAGGGAGTAGGAGGACCCGGCTGAGCGTCTCCAGCTGCCTTTTGGCAGCTTCTCCCCAGGAGTGGTGCCTGCCCCAGGCTCAGAGGCATCTGGCTGCCTTTTTGGGTTTCAGGCTGTGATGGGAGGGAGCGCCAGGCTGGCCGGAGGGCTGCAGGGCAGGAGGGTGGAGCCTGGGTGGGCGGGGCATGTAGGGAGGGTGGAGCTTAATGAGGCAGGGCCTGGGGGCGGGACCTGGCAGGAGGGTGGAGCCTGGATGGGTGGGGCATGTCAGAAGGGTGGGGCTTGGTGGAGGTGGGGTCTGGCAGGAGGGTGGGGCCTGTGGGGGCGGGGTCTGACAGGCGGTGGGTCATGTGGGGCGGGGCATGTAAGGAAGGTGGAGCCTATGGGGCGGGGCTTGACAAGGGTAGAACCTGTGGGGCGGGGCCTGGCAACAGGGTGGGAGCTGGTGCAGGTGGAGCCTGGCATGGGGTGGAGCCTTGTGGGGGCGGGGCGTGGGGCACAGCCCAAGGTGTGAGTGGCTGGGATCCTGGGTCGCCCCACAGGATGTGTAGGGAGGAGGACCTAGGCTCCTCTGGGGTGCCAGGAAGCGAAGGAAGTGGGGACACAACCGCGGGCCTTGAAGGAGGTGGGGAGAAGCCGAAAGAGGCACTGACTTAGCCAGAGCCTGGAGCGGTGGCCCAAGATCCAGCCGCTGCAGTGAGGTTCCTGCCTTATCGGATAGACGGGTTTTCCTGCTCAGACTCAGCCCTTAAACTTGGACCCTGCTCAGGTCCCCCCTTCCCATGCATGCGTGTTCCTTCCTGTGTCTCCTTCCCGCCCCCCCCAACCCTGTGTGCCCAGCTCGCCCAGCTCCACCCTACCAACCCTCCCCACTCCTGTCTCAGATCAGACCCAAGCCTGGAGGCCCACCCAGCCACCAGTCCTCCCTCCCCCTGCTGGGTCCCCTCCAGCCCATCCTGGCAGGACCCAGAGCTGGCCTGCCCTTCTGCCACCCCTGAGTGAGGTTGAGGACCCTGCTTCCCCACCCCTCATCATCCAACAGTCCCAGACTGCAGCTCCCACAGCTGCGCTGTCCCTGGCCTTCACACCTGCTGTCCCTCAGACCCATCGGCCTGCCCTTGCCACTGGGCTGCCTGCCTCAGCCTCAGCCTGGGCTTGGAGGCTGGCTGCTCCTGTGGGCCCTGCCCTGCCCCCTTGGCCCAGCACAAGCAGATCTGGGGTGGGGGGTTGCTGTTGCTCTAGTGACACATGGGCCATGGAGAGGGGGAGGAGGGGGCCCATGGACATGCACAGGCGTGGAACTGCTCCTGGCAGGCAGCCTAGAATCCTAACTAGGTGCCCCCTGCCCCCTCGCGGTGAAGCACCAAGTCTGAGCCAGGGTGGGGTCCTGGGGCCGGGCCAGCAGGACAGAGAGGGTGAGGCTGATGGAGCAGACAGCCAGGCTGCCCCAGGCACAAGCGTGCTGGAGTCCAGACAGCAGGTGGACGGCCACCCACAGTGACAGCCTGGGCCGTGTGGACCTGGGCAGGCACCAGCAGGCAGCTGCCCTCCCGAGCCCTTCCTTGCTTCCATCCTGGCAGTCGCACTGGGAGGTGTATCGGGACAGGCACCTGCCAGGTCTGCCGTGACTGGCAAGTAAGTGACGAGATCCCCCTGTGACCCCAGAGTCAGGTGGGACAGCAAGGGTGGGGAAAGGGGGTCCCAACGATGAGGGGTCCTGGGTGGGAGAAGGGGATGCCCCATCCGCCCTCCACAGCTCAGCGCTCCCAGCCTGCCACCCCTGCCCACACAGCTACCCCATGTGCTACTAGGGCAGGCTCATCTTGTCCCACTTAGCAGCCACAGGCCAGCCACCTTGGCTCAGCTGGAGAGGCGTCCCCTGCCCGTGTCCCATTCTGGGTCATTTTGAAGGCCATCTGGGAATGTTTTAGCTGCCTCTGAAAGCAGAAAACCTCCATGGCTCGAAGGCCTGGCTCAAAGGTGCCCGTGGCACGGAGGTCATGGGATGTGTGTGTACCAGGAACATGGGTGTGTGGGTGTGTGTGGGGCAGACATGGGGTGTGTGGGGGGCAGAGGGGGTGTGGGGGGCAGGTGCAGGGTGTATGCGTGCAGGGCACAGGGTGTGTGGGGGGCACAGGGCTATGTGGGGCAGGCGCGGGGTGTATGTGTGCAGGGCACAGGGTGTATGTGTGTGTGTGTGCGGGGCACAGGGTGTGGGGGGCACAGGGCTATGTGGGGCAGGCGCGGGGTGTATGCGTGCAGGGCAGGGGGCATGTGTGTGCAGGGCAGAGGTGTGTGGGGGGGCAGAGGGCGTGTGTGTGCGGGGCAGGCACGGTGTGGGGGTGGCGCTGCGGCCTGTCTGAGCCACGGCTGCGCCTGCAGATGTTCGGGCAGCGGCGCAGCGTGCAGGCGCTGGAGCTGGCGCATATGCTCTACTACCGGAGCACGTCCAACAACTCGGAGCTGCTCAGCGCGCTGGCACTGCGCGCACAGGACGAGCACACCAAGGAGGCGCTGCTGGCGCACAGCTTCCTGGCCCGGCGGCCCGGGGGCGCGAGCGGCCCGCCCCAAGGTAGAACACCTCCGATCCCCGTCCCAATCTCCTTCCCCCACGTCCTCGGGAGAACCAACTTCCCCATCCTGGTGTCTGACCTCTGCCTCCACGGGGTCCTGCATGGATGGCCTGTCCCCCCTCCCTGAGCTCCAGGCGGCCCCCTTCGCGACAGGAGCCCTCATCCTGTGCCCCCAGATGAGAACCCCGGAGCCCCTGGGCCTTGTCCCACTCCCCACCCCGGGGAGCTTCTTTGAAACCGGGGCCCCTTGCTCGCCAGCCCCTCCCAGTCCTTCCGGATGGGCCCCGGGGCTGACCGCACCACACCTGCTCTCCCACCCGCAGAGACCTCCAGGTGGCTGCAGCTGGAGGTGGAGAGCTGGCTGCTGGCCCAGTCAGGCTGTGACGTGGCCTTCAACGGAGCCCGAGCCCTGGCCCACCTGCAAGCCCTGACCCCCACCTCCGGGCTCTACCCTCCGCCGGGCTTCCCCAAGCTCCAGCCGCCGTCCGCAGGGGCTTCCGAGTCTCCCCCAGACCACGCCCAGCAGTAACAGCCGCCCCACCCCGACACCCCGACACCCCGACCTAACCGCCCCTGCCCGGCCCCCATCCGGCACCGGCCACCGGGCAGCACGCTAAGCCCCGCCTCCTCCCCGACCAGCACGTCAATCACGGCTGCTGGGACTGGCACTTACTGACAGGCAGTTATTCTCGGCTAGGCTGTGTGCTTCAACGAAGCGGCCAATCAAGGCAGTCGACAGCTGGTCGTCCCCGCCCCTTTCTGATGAACAAGCCAATCAGAGCCACAGAGCTCGGCTTCCTTTCAGCCCCGCCCCCGCCTCCCCGTGCCAGACGTGGCTGGTGGGAGGAGGTGAGGGTGTGGGCCCATCCCGGCTGCTCCGCCCGGGCTGCTCGAAGCTGTCGGGCAGCCTTGCGGCAGCTGCTGCCCATCAACTCCCGAGGCTACGTGATCACTGCCTTTTTAGCGGGCTCCAGGCAGCCTGCCCACCCCGGGCACTTAGGTGGGGCCCCGGGCAGCAGCAGCCCAGCTCCCCCGCCGGCCGGCACCTCGCCAGCGACAGCTGCTGGGCGCTGTCCACCTTGGGAAGCCAGCGATGGGATTGCTCCAAGAAACCCGATCTTTTCTATTAACTGCCGCCGCCGCTGCTGCTGCTGCTGCTCGTCGGGTGGGCCCAGTGGTCAGGCCCCATCGGGATGACCGAGCTGAGAGTTTGGGGACCTCGCGATGGGCGGAGGCTGTGGGTCTGAGGGAACCAGAGACCCCCCTCGGCTCTGTCCGCTGCTCTCCCTCGCACTCAGGTCCCCACGGCCTCAGGTGCCTTCCCCTGCCCCTCTCCACTGCTGCAGAAACTACCTCCATCTGGATCTCCCCAGCACCAGGCGCCCTGTGCAATAGTATTTATTGGTTCATCCATTTCTCTCCCCCGCCCCCAGTCCTAAGGGAATAAATCCATGTTTAGTAAATGTGCATGTGCGTAGTGGCTACAGGAATTGGAAAGGCAGGATTGGGTCCTGGGACAGCCTGGTTCCTGGGGGTGGCTCATGATTCCCAGCCTGGGGCCCACGGATGACGGGGAGTGAGGGTGACCAGGACTCCTGTGCAGACACAAACACAACTCCAGCCCACGCCCCTCTCTGAGCCCCAGGGGTGGGGGGGTACCTCCTGTTTTGTATTTTACTGAGGCGTCCAGAGACAGCCTTTAGGGGAGGTGGGGTTCCAAAAGAAACAGAAGAAAGCTCTTCCCACCGGGGTCCAAGTGGAAAGCAGGCCTGGGTCGGGGTGGTACTTGGCCTGGTATCCAAGCGTCCAGGTTCTGCGTCCGGCTGTGACTCCAGCTTCCCGCCAGTGTTGACCCTGAGAGGTGGGCGGCACCGAGCGCCCAGCTCATGGCTTCCATCCTGCTCAGCCTCGGTCATTGCAAACATGGGGTGTTGGGAATGGACCCGCTCGCTGATGGGGACCCCCTTTGCCCCCAGAACCTAGAGGCACACACTCCGCTCTGCCTGGTCCAGAGGCAGGAAATCGGGGCTGGGCCACTCAAGACTCGTGGTCTGCGGGCGAAGGGCCCGGGGCTCTCGGGTGTGTGGGAGGGACAGGGCTGCCGGGGTCCAGGACTCCATCTTCCCAGGGAAGAACTGCTGGGGCTGGAGATGCGCCTTTGGAGGGCGGGGCGGCTGAAGGTGGGGGAGAGTTCAGGTCCAGCGCAGCCCGTCTCCCCACAGGAGTAAAAGGAAGGAGACCACGGCAGGGTCCGTGGTTAAACGATTTTATTTTTTGTAGTAGGAGCGGCTGCTTCGGGGCGGGACAGAGAGAGGCCGGAGAGTTGGGGAGGCGGGCGGCAGGGCGAGGCTCACTCCCGCTTCCGCAGGTGGATGTAGACCACGCCGCTGACCAGGGCGAGGGGGAAGGCCACCCAAGCGAGGGCGAAGCAATAACCGAAGCTGCCCCCTCGCGGGTGCTTCGTCAAGATCTCCTCAACGTGGATGGCGTAGATCAGGGCCCCTGTAAACACTGCCACGCCTGCGGAGAGAATAGGAACCAGGAGTCAAGCAGTGTACCAAAGACTACATTTCCCAGCAGCCCACAGAGCCAGAGCAATGCTGCAAGACTGGTGGGCAGCACCGCTGCCTGCCGGGAGTTGTAGTTCTCTCCTTCAGCGCAGCCGTTTCCACGGCAATTTATTTCCTCTGTGGGGATCCGATTCGCTGATCCATAACATGGAACAGTAATACCCATCCATCCGTGGGATATTTTTGAGTGTCTCTCTTTTATAGCAAGCCCAGTATGAAACTGTATTAATTTGGCTCCTGAAATCCCAAAACTAAACCCAACTGCTGGAAGTGCCTGATCCGTGGTAGGTGGACCTGCGAGAACGCGCAAGTGGCTGACACTCCTGTGGTCTGTGTTGGCCCCACACCTCATGTCTGAACCCTAGGCCCCCTGTCTCCCCACCCTGCCCCAGCCCTGAGCTCCCCAAATCCCCCCATTCGCTTCTGGGGTCCTGGGCTCCGTGGCCCGGGGGCAGTGCTCACTGGTGCAGAGCTGGCAGAGGCCTGTGGCGTAGAAGAGCTCTCCTCTGCGCATGGTGTAGAGCTGGAACATGAAGAGGATGAAGGAGAGACAGCACAGGATGAGCGACAGCACCATGAGGCCCTGGACTGCCTTCAGCCAGCCTGTGGGGAGGAGGGGGACAGGCAGGAGTCACCCTGGCTGCTGCCGTCCAGCGCCACCTGCTCGCTCGGTGTTGGTCCCTTTGTCCTCCTTTCTCCCGCTGCCCACTGAGAGCCACCCACACCTAGGAGCTGTCCTCACTGCGGGAACCTGGAATTGGACACCGGGTCCTGTGCATCCACCCAGAAGGCCGCCTCCCCGCCCTCCCCCCACCCCCCAGCTCCCGAGGCTGCAGGGCACTTCCTCCTCACTCCTTCCTATATTGTGCTCTGTACCCTTTCCAATCACAAGGGGGAGCGTGCAGGGGGCTCACCATGGAGACGCCCTCCTGGGGTCCCCCTCCCCGTGGACCTGGCCTGCTGCCTGTCCCTCAGCCCTCACCATTGTCACTGACGGTACTGCAGGCCCACGAGTTGGTGTGGTTGTTCCACGTGCAGTCGTACCAGAGGTTGAGCGACTCCTTGCCCGGGAGGATCCACCAGGACTGGGGTGGACAAGGACGGGGTCAGCAAAGGCGAGTGGATGGGGCCGGGGGCAGCAGGCCAGGTTGGGGGGGAGAAGCAGGAGGAACCGGGGCCAGTGCGGCTGTCTTAGGAATGGGGAAGAGGCCTCAGGTTGGACAGAAGGGTGGCCGCTGGAAAGAGGGGTGGTGCCAGGGGCTTTGGAGAGAGGAAGGGGCGTGGCCAGTGCCAGCGCACCCACAGCTTCGTAGGGGTCTCACCTTATCCAAGGTGGCCACGAACAGCAGGATGAGGATGAGGATGTGAAGGGCCGAGACCACCAGCAGGAGGAGCGACATGGCTGCACCAGAAGCCTGGGGGGCACAGGATGGGGGGCAGGAGATGGGTGGCCCTGGGCTTAGGAAGTTGGCACAGGTACCAGTGCCTGGATCCTAATGGCTGATGGCAGGTGGGGCTGGTCCCCTAGAGCTTAGCGAGGGCCACGGCTACGGATCGTCCAGGGAGGGAGACGCACGTGTGGGACCCCGCATGTGGCCTCTCTCTGCTGCCTAGCCTCGGGCCCTGAGCACATTCCAGCCAGGCTACATTCAAAGCAATGCACCCCCCCCCCCCCCCGCACGCGGATTTCTCCGGAGCTGGGCGCTGCCCCCAGGGGCGGCGTCCTTAACTCACCCCACTCCTCCCTTGGGGGTGGGTGCAGGAGGGGGACCCGTGACTCATCTGTGACTCATCCCCTGCCCAGCACCAGGGAAACCCCAGCCTGGGGCTGTGTCCACCGGACCCCTGCCGCCACTGGGGAAGGAGAAGGGACAGGATCAGTGTGTGTGTGTGTGTGTGTGTGGACTGGCCTGCGGGAAGGAGCAGCCTCCCACAACCTCAGTGTCCCCGGAGGCTCCCCAGACTTGGGGTGCCCTCCTGCTAACTGTGGACTTTCAGGGTCCTCCCCCAGAGAGCTGACTCTCCCCTACCTTCCCTTGGGGCACTCTGATGGGGTCCTCCCCACAACTCCTTGCCGGGCACCACCTCCCTTTCACCCCAAGCGCTGAACAGTCACCAACTAAGTTACGAGGAGGGGAGCCAGGGATGGGGTGGGGGTGACCTTCCCCTCCTCCACCCTACCCAGCACTCCCAAGTAAATGGAGAAAAGCCGCCTGGATAACGGGCTGGAAACTTACCGAGAGAGCCGCCTCAGAAGTCCGGGTCGGAGTCGCGTCCCTCGCTCGGGCCTCGGCGCCCCGCCCTTCTCCTCCCTCCCTCGCCGGCGCCGGGCTCCCTCCCGCCCTCTCTCTCCCTTCTTCCCCCCTCTCTCAGTCTCTAGAGCCTCCTGGCCTCTCCTGTCTCCTCTCCGTTTATATACCGACCCTTTTATACCCACCCCCGTCGCGCCCAGCAGTGGGAGGGCCCCGGGGCGCTGGGGTTCCCCATTCTCTGGGCCCCCCGCTCCACCCATTGCTCACAGACAGATATGTTTCGGGGTTCCCTCCCAGGCATGAGGGGACGCGTCACTCCTGGAGGGTGGGAGGAGTGGGTGGGACAAGCGTCAGGGTGGGAGGGCTCTGCTGCTTTCCAGGGCTGGGGTGGGGTCTCCCTGGAGTCTGGACCAGATCTGATGCCTTCTTTGATGTGTCTGCCTACGGGTGGGTGGGTGGGGGGGCAGTCAGAGGACGAGGTCAGATTCTGGTGGCCTGGACTGGGCAGGAGGAGTTGGCTCTGCAGCGGGGTGGTCACTGGGATGAGGATGGGTGCGTTAAACCCAGGCACTTTGCAAGGTGGTGGCGACTGTGGCCCAGTTCTCAGCTCTTGGAGCCTCTTTCCCTGGAGTGGGCCCATAACCCAGTGCTGGTCATAATCGCTCAATTCTGACTCCCTCCCACCTATTAAGAACCTTCCAGCAGGTAGCATGTCAGTGAAAGTCCATCTCAGAATGGCTGCGT